TTTCAAACATTTAACCCCTAGCAAAGGTTCAGAACAACACAGATCCTATCTTCCTGCTGCACCAATGCAATTCTATCGAGAAAGCTTTTTACAGCTATTTCCCGCACTCCTCTCCCCACTCCCCAAACAACACTGCAAAGTTGATACTTCTCTTCAGAACAACCTAACCAAGTTGATTCTGTTTGAATGGTGAACTGGGGAAAAGCATCAAATGAACACACCCTATTACAGTTAGTTTCTCTCCAACTTAGCACTGCTTCAGCATGAGGATCTGTGCAGGACATTACAAACTCCAGCAGTGAGAAAATGAGAACTCTCCATCCTGCATCTTACCTTGTCATCAATGGTATCAAATTTGGTGAGCACAATTCCATCGATGAGACGTGGTGTCTGGGCCATGGAGTAATCAGCCAAGGCTTTGTTAAACTTCACCTGGTGAAAAAGGAAAAGAGCCAGGGAATAAGTCAACCTTTGTCCTAAGACACCCATCACTGGCATCGAAGCACATCCAAAACGTGCATAGGCTTTCACCAGGGGGGTAGCTGCTCCCCTGGAAGAACTGTAGTTTCAGAAGTTAAAAAAAAAATCACAAACTAACCAGCTGATCAACAGCCTCATTTCCCACCAGCGCTTCCCCGACGAAGAGGACCAGGTCAGGGGTGTTGACTGCAATGAGTTTAGCCAGGGCGGTCATCAAGGGGGCGTTGTCTTGCATACGGCCAGCAGTGTCCACCAAGACCACATCAAAACCCTGGTTACGTGCTAGAAGAGAAGGGTCATTAGTCAGATCAATTCCGACCCAGATACAGCACCTCAAGCTACTACCACTCAGAGTGTTTAGGATTTCCCCCGTGTTTATCCTCTCACTACCATGGAGAGGACAACAGGCTCACCATAAGAAATGGCCTCCATGGCAATGCCAGCAGCATCCTTCCCATAGCCCTTCTCATAGAGCTGGACCATGATGCGCCCACTATGGCTTTCCGGGGGATGCAGAGCATTCAGGCGGCGAGTGTGAGTGCGCAGCTGCTCCACAGCTCCAGCGCGGAATGTATCACAGGCGGCAATGAGGACACTGAAGCCATTTTCAATCAGCCAGAACGAGATCTGAGGAAGAAGGAGAAAGTCCCATTACCATCCTCTGTCTGACCCCAGTTGCTCTTCTCTGCTCAGCACCCAGCCCAACATGCCCCAGCAGGGCACTCTGCTGCTTCCATCCTTTGGTCCCACTTTTCTACCTAAACCCTCATTTAAGCACCTCATCCCAAGGCTGTTATGTCAAAAAGTAGCATGGCATGCAGCCAAGCCAAAGCCTCCTGGAAATACACAGTAGGATGGCAATGACCCTCACCTGAAACTGGTTCTCAATGTTCTGTTCACATGGGGTGTGCCCCACGGCGGTCCCACAGCCCCCCAGTTCCTCCACAGAACACTTGACACATCCCATCCAGGCAGTGACCATGATTCAGGACTCATTCTAAGACCCCAGTCATAATGGGACTCAGGTTTCTGGGTAGCATCAAGCTTTGTCTGTAGTAACCAGCACCTGACATGCTCATAAGACCTTCCGTCTAATAATGCCAGACTCTACAGCTGTCAGGTACCTGCTTTGGCTCAGGCACAGACAGGAGACACCCTAAATACACAGGGTGACCTGGAGAGAAGCTCTGTCCTACATAGAGATATCGTTACTGCCATGTAGGTAGCACTGGGGGACCATGCAGAAATGGCATTTTTCAGGAGCAACCAGGAAAGAGAAAAGCTTAACACGTCCACCCCAGGAGGCAAGTTAGCATGTAAATGTGGGCAAACAGAGTCAGGGAAGAAGAGTGCCCTGAAAAAGGCCCTACAGGAAGTCTATGGCAGACCTTGGAGTTCTGTGCTGTAACCAGTAGAACATCTTTACTTCCTAATGTATGGGACAGGGTGGAAAAGGATCGGGACAGCAGGATATACACAGCACCCCACATGCAGCAGCTTTAGGGGAACATCCTCATTGCAGTGGGAGGTGTGATCTGCAGTACATGCAAGTACACAGCACACACTTCCTGGGTCCAAGGCAGGCCTGTATTCAGACAGCTTGCACAGGCTTCAGCACTGTCAGTATTTGAGCTAGCCAGAGGACAGCTTGCACAGGTATACGTACCAGGCTGCAGTCTCACAGCCAATTGCAGTGTAGGCTGCAGCAACATTACTGTCAGGACCACGCGCTTCAATAGGGAAGAGCTAGTGACTCAGATGAGCAGTTCTAGTGCCTGCAAGCATTATCCAAACATGAGCCCAAAAGGATGTCCTATGTCCCAGGCTTTTAGGTAGCAGCACCTCCTAAGGAGGGATGCAAGCAGAATAGACACTGGAAAAGCATCATAAAGAAGCATCCTTGCAACAGCAGCCTCTTGGTCTCTGTTCAAGCTGTTTTTGTGTTGCCTTGACCTGCAGAGCAGGACCTGAGCTGTGCCTTTAACAGCACTATTCCCTTTACAATGTCAAACCTTCTATTTGCATACAATGCAGTGAAAGACTGACCAGCACAACACAGGACTTGGGTCTGTAACGTCATCTCCCCTGGCTTCCCTTCCAGGTTCTCCCTTTGTCCGAGCCCTGGTATTTAAAGGACACTGCACTTTACAAAGCTGACTAGAATTTCAAAAGATCTGGCAGAAGTTCTTTTAAATAACACAGTCTGATTTGAGCAAGGGCTCTCTCTTCTCCCCTCACCAATGCTTACAAGGATCTACTCAACATGGGAGCAGAGTACAGAGCACACTTCTCCCCTGCAGCAACACTCAACAATAACAGTCTATGCCAGTGGTTTTCAACTTTTTCATTTGTGGACCCTAAAACTTTTTAAATGGAGGTACAAACCCCTTTGAATTGTAAGTGTGGGTATTGACAGACTTTTGATTGATCATAGTCATCTTAAATCTGTGCAGAGGGAAGGAGGGGCAGATTGAGGCAGAGGGAAAAAAAATATTTGGGGGCACACCTCCCCAGCAGGTAAGTCCCACCTGGCCAGGGCCCCGCTCAACTTAACCCTGCTCCTGCCTCTATGGTTCTGGCCCTCACTGTGGGGTCCTTGATCTAGCCCCTGCCCCTTCCCTCCCCCATGGACTGACTTGCTGAGCTGCGGTGCGCACATGCACGCACACAGGCACTCAGCCCCACCATCTCAGCTTCAGATCGACTCCAAGATCCACTGGTTGGTGACCACTGCTTTAGACAGTCTGCAGAGTACAGACTACAGGTTGAAAACCACTGCTTTATGACTTGGGACAATGAACTGCCCAGCAGCACCACAAAGCTATTCTCTGGCTAGTTCAAATGCTGACAGTACTGAAGACCATGCAAGTTGTCTTAATATAGGTCTGCCTTGGACCCAGGAAGTGTGTGCTGTGGGCTTACAGCTGTCACAGGGGAGGGTGTTTCCCACAGCAGGAAAATGTCTCCAGGACTAGCACAAAATGTGAGCACTCATGCAGGCTGCACCCTACCTTGGCCAGGTTGGTTGACTTTCCCACCCCGTTGACCCCACAGAAAGTGACAACATAAGGCCGATGATGGCGCTGGGCGTCCATAACATCACGCAGGATGTCCACACGGCGCTGCGGTTGCAGGATCTGCACCAAGGCCTCCTGAAGGGCCTGTTTCACTGTTGAGGTCACCGCTGGGAAAGGAGGTAGAAGTGGAACCAGTCAGCAACTGATCCAGGCTGGGTAGCTGGAGCACTGCCTCTCTTTCCCACAGTGTCTTGGAGCATGTCAAGTACAACCTGCGCTGCCTCAAGCTGGGTGTCGTAACCTGGCAGTTCCCTTTCCCATGCACCGAGTCCCAAGACACTTGACTACTAAGGACTAGGCCAGGGACAGGCAAAATATGGCCTGCAGGGGCAGCCTGGACCATGCCACATATCATAGACTCATAGGACCAGAAGGAACCTGCAGGAAGTTACTGGGCTCAGACAAGCTCACTGCGACTGCACCACCTCTTATGTCCAGCCTGAATTTACCTTCTATTAGCTTATGCACATTTGTCCTAGTCATCCTGAGGTGCCTTCCTGAAGAGCCACTCCCCCAGATCTTGATGCTCACACCCCTGACATACTTGGCTATCAAGTCACCTCTCAGCCTGAACAGGCCCAGTTCCCAGTGTCTTTCTTCATAGGGCCTATCCTCTATGCCTCTAATCATAAGGATGGCCCTTCTTTGTATCCTCTCCAGCTTATCCACATCCTGGATGGATGGCCCTGCTGCACCCAGGCACACGGAGAGGCAGGGGCAGCAGGGTGGCCAGGCTCAGCTTCACAGCAGCCCCTGTTATGATGACTCACTCTGTCCAGCTGCTGCTCTCAGTCTTCCCTGCAACTACTACTGGGGGTGCCAGAGGGAGCAGACAGGCGGGCAGACAGGGTCTCCACATAAGACTGGCTTGGGACCCCTGCAGGCATGGTGCACTCAGCCAGGTGGATGGGATGGGGCCGCAGGTGGGTGGGGAGCAGCCTCCAGGAGCGGGACGGGTGGGCAGGAGCTGAGGCCAGAAGCGCAGGGTGGTGAGGGTGGGACCAGGGCTGGGCCCCGGCCTGGATCCACAGCAGATCTACAATCTGCTCCCTGCACATCTCTGCCCATGGAACCTGCACCCAAAGGGATGTGAAGAAGCAGACTGCGACTCTGTCCCAGGCTCTGGGCCCCAGCCCCATGCTGTCACGGCCCTGCGATCCAAATTGCTCACCCATACCACTCCCGGACATCACTTACCAAAGCTTAGTAACCTTCCAGACCAAATAATTGCCCACCCCTGGACTAGGCTAAGCAAGCAGGCCTGTGTGAAGTGGCTAGTATTCGCTTCGGATTCGGATTCTGCTGATTCGGGGGACAGCAATTCAATGATTCGAATCACTGTCCCGAATCGATTCAGGCGAATCTGATTTGGAGATTCGGGCAGCAGAATCTCTGAATCACTCCGGCCAGGCCCATCCCCCGCCTGCTCTCCCAGCCCCGCAATGGCTGCCCAGCCCGTCTCAGCTCCCAGCACTTGGGGGGGGGAGCCCAGACTCACCGGTGCTGCCGGGTGGGGGGGGGG